TCATAAATTTTAATTCCTAAACATTTGTCTCAAATATTTATTTGTAATAATTTAGTTCGTAAGTACTGAAAACATTTATTAATCGTTATATTCAAAATTATAAAGCCCTCATATTTTTTTTATTCGTGATAATTTAGCGAGTGAGTATGAAGAGCATTTAATAATAAATGTACTTAAATCATCAATTGGATTTCCTAAATATTTATTTTGATAATTTAGTTAGTAAGTATAACATTCATATAGGAACATATATTAATTGCCGCATTTAAAATCATCAATTCAAGTTCTTAAATATTTACTTCAAACTTTTCATTCATAATAATTTAGTTAGTAAGCATAAAGAACGTTTATTAATCACTATGTTTAAAATCATCAAGTTTTTAATTTTTTACTTCAAACCATTTTATTGTGAAAATTTAGTTTGTAAGTATAAGGAATATTTAATAATTGCCATATTTAGAATTATCAAGTTAAATATTACTCAAACATTTCATTCATAATGTTTAGCCTGTGAGTATAAAATTATAAATCATAATACTTAACTAATCAATTCAGGTCATTAAGATTTACCACAAATTATTTCATTTTGTCCGTAATAATTTAGTCGGTAAGTGTTTAAAATCAGTTCAAGTCCTTAAATATTTACCTGAAATAATTTATTCGCGACAATTTAGCCAGTAAGTATAAAGAATCGCTGTATTTAGAATCATTAATCAAATTCTTAAATATTGATCTAAAACTATTTATAGTTGGTAAGTATTTAGTAGCGTTGTAGTTAAAACTGTCAATTCAAGTTCTTAAGTATTTACTTCAGATTATTTCATCCATGATGATTTAGTGGGTGAGCATAAAAACACTTATTATGTGAGTACCTAGCCATTTTCATGCATGTTATTGGTCAATTCTAAATACATGATACACAAACTTTGATCACCTCCTATCGGAGGTGATGTATCACGTTTAAAAATGACCCAATACGTAAGATGTAGAAAATTGCTGGGCGCTTACATCAGAAATGTACAATAATCATGTTATTGGGTCATGTTTTTAACTTTTAGGAGCGTTCTCACAAATAATTGGTCAACCCTGTAATTTTGACCAATCAAAATAAGATCAGGTGTAACGTGATTAGTGATGTGCCGCGTACAGTACTATACGTACAGTACGTACTGTACGCTAAAATTTTTGCCGATCACTTGTTCCAGCCAATCAGATGCCAGAAAAAGAACTATACGTACAGTACGTACTGTACGTACTGTACGCTAAAATTTTTCAGGTATCATATAAATGGCACATCACTAAACGTGATAGTCAAAACAAACGGATTTGTTTTCTAAGTAAAAAAGTTACGTGTAAAATTAAAATTAAGAAACCCACGTTTTAGTTAAGGATAATATTAGAAAAATGTTAGTAAAATTTCACAAGGAATATTTTTAATTAGCATGCAGAAGGTAGTTTCTTAATTAAATTTTATAGTTACGTATTCTTGTTGTTTTTGTAAAAAAAAAATGGCGATTTTACATTACACCTGACCCTGAAATTCGATTGGTCAAAATTACAGGGTGAACAATTTTTTGTAGGCATTTTTTATTATTAATGATAATTGCTGATTTGATGCCACACGTCATAACAGTGGCACCTGGCAAATAGAAAATCTAGGACAGGTTACGTTAATTCCTTAAAAATTTTTGACGACAGAAGCTACTAACAAGCTCGAAAAGAATATATGTACATAAAAAAGAAAAAAAGACGTTAAAATAATGCATAATATTAACAAGAAAATAATTTAAAATTCGTATTTTTATAGCAAATTATATTCCTATCTGTACAATACAAAAATTTTATGGGTTTGAAACTTATTATATATCGATATTATTGTTAATATTTAAAATCCAATATTGGATTTGAAATTCGGAGATTGACGTAACCTGTCCCAGATTTTCTATTTGCTAGCCCCTAGCAATCGTTATAGCTCAGTATCCTAGTGAATAATCAGTTATCATCAGCATGAACAATAACAAGTACTTATTAATCACTGTATTTAACTTCTAAAATATTTACATCATCATGAAAATTTAGTCGGTAAGTATAAAGATTTTTATATTAACGACGCAAAGAACTCTTACACGATATTCGACCTATAAAGGGATTCCAAATATGGAAAATGTAGATGCTGTAACCAATATAACACGAACGAAGCATGGTGTCAGACATGTGATCCCGACATAACAACTCAAGGATGGACAAGTGGAAATAAGGATATTGATGATTACATTAGAGAATTTCAACTTAAATCTATAAAATATTCGAAGATAATTGAATGGATCCCATTTGATAGACTAGATAAAATTGTTAAAATTGGCGAAGGAGGATTTGGTTCTGTATTTTCAGCAATCTGGTTGGATGGCATACGAAAAATTGATGGTGAAGCTTATAATTATGTGAGGGCACGTGAAAAAGCATCTAAAGTCGCACTCAAGACACTATCACTTTCTGCTGAAAACCTCACTTTTTTAAAAGAAGTTAGTTCATTACTTTGTGTATATTTTATTTAATAGTTTGATTGAACTAATTCATTATATAAATTTAAAAGTTTAAAGATCACCTACAATGTAAATTAATGGCTACTGGCCTCGAGGTATATGGACTAACTCATAACCCAAAAACCAATGAATATTTGATGGTATTTCAGTATGCAGATAACGGAAATCTTCATGAACTTTTAATGTCAAAATTTAGAAAACTTACATGGGAGCACAAACTACAATTACTTAAAGATATTTCATCAGATTTGGTTGGAATTCACGATGCAGGATACATTCATGCTGATTTTCATAGTGGTAATATCTTGCAAGACCAACGAGCTAATGAATATATGCGATCTTATATCACAGATCTTGGATTATCCAAAAGAGAAGATGCTAATTCAAAAGGGGATATTTATGGTGTTATGCCCTATATTGCACCAGAAGTCTTGTTAGGTAAACAACTTACTTTTGCATCTGATATCTATAGTTTTGGTGTTATTATGGCGGAAATGGCAACAGGAGAGAGACCGTACGATGGTTATGAATTTGATACTAATCTTGCGATTAAGATTTGCAATGGATTACGACCAGAATTTACTACTGGAACTCCTGATTGTTATATTGAATTAGCCAGAAAGTGCATGGATTCTAATCCAAAAAAAAGACCTCATGCTTATGAAGTTTGTGAGATTTTCGATGGTTGGCTCAAAATAATTAAATCTAAAATTAAGACAGATGAAATTAAAAGACAATTCTTAGATGCTGATGAAATTAAAAGACAATTCTTAGATGCTGATAAAATTATAAAAACGTCGGCAATTATGTCGCCTAAACATCCAAATTCCATGTATACTAGTAAAGTTATTAGCACAAACACGATTAGAGGTATTTATATTTAATACTACCTGGTTTATTATAAATTTTAATATTAATTATTAATTATTTAGTTTCTGTTGAATTTGAAATTCCTTTATAAACGCGTTAGCCATAATTTTGTCATGTAGGTGACTTTGTCGCCGAGGTCTAGTATTTAATAATAAAACATTATTATATATATATAGGTAGTTTTCTGAAGGACTATATTGTTGAGTAAAAGGATACTAGGTACCATCTTTTAGTAAATTCTCGATTGTGATTAGTTGCTTTTATATAGATGATTTATCTTGATAGTTCTTGGTTGATTAATAAATAAGATAAAATAGTTTTTCAGACTTTTGATAGTTTCTATTCACCTATTATAGTGGCAGATCATTATGAAACTAGTTGTTAGAACCATATTCAAGGCTTTAATGCTTGTTTGTATTAGTTTCTAAGTTTATTCATGCGATATATTTAATTTGCCTTTTTTTATACAGTATTAGGCTTAAAATTTGTTTTTGTACTTGTTATTTATACATAAATAAATTATGCCACCAATTTAAGACTGCATAACTTATGTTACATCTGAGCATAATTTTCGCGTTTGAACGGTGCTAAAAAAATCAATTAGTCAAGCCTTGTTTTGAACCTCGATTTTCACTTAAATGTCACGAATTTGAGTACAGTAGATAGTAGTCAAGATAATTTTTTATTTTTTTAACGTATATAATATTTATCACCTTACATTGTACCTCTTCCAATATTTCATTACGCGCCCCTTTTTCCAATATTCATTGCGCCCCTTACAATATTTTATTGCGCCCCTTCCTAGCCTCTTTACGTCTTTCCCAATCATTTTTCTGTAGCATATCCTGGTATCAAGGAATACGGCACAGAAAAATTAGTTCGGTGTCAACTATATTATACGGCCAGGTTATGAAATAATTAATTTTGCACAGCCTTATTAGATATCCGATATTGTCAGAATTTAACTTCTAATAATGAACGACGAAAACAACCATTTTTTTATAACTTTCAATCAGCAATAAACTCAGGAAGCTTTGGATTTAGGGATTTCATTCTTTCGCGGTCAATACATAATTTAAAAAAATCCATTAATATTTAGTTATTATTTTGATTCACTCAAGAATTCATGTATTTTTTTAATCTGAACCCATTAATTAGCTCCCTCTTGATACACTGCAACGTGTAATACATTATTACGGAAAATCCTTCGAGTGTTTATTCATGCCATAAGGCTTTCATTATAAGTAAATTTTTCACTGCCTCTATCGTAGTGGCATGGTTCATTTGATTATTTATCTTTTATCCCGTTGCAGCAATAATAATATTATTATTATTATTAATTGTGGAATAAAAAAATTCGTTGACTGAAATGATAAATTCGAAACCTATTTCTTTTTTTCGATGCAATAAAATACGTGTAATGTGTTTATAGATATTTGTCTATGACCTTAATGGCTTTTAAAAAAGCAAAATAAAAAAAACAACAAACATAATTTATACAAACATTCTTGCATCTAAGCAAGGCTTGTGAAATAATTTTAAATTTAGAACTTAAATTGACACCTTTTTCGCTTATGAAAAAAAAAAATGTCGGATACTCAAGAAATTTCGATCAAAATTACGGATGATTCTACACCACACGATAAAGATAAAGAGCAAATTACAAATGATTTTACTCCACATAATAAAAAGAAAATTGCATATGTAGCATGTTCTCCCAAGATGGAATATGTTGCGACATGGAGCATCGAGGATCTATCGGCAGTCGGCTGGTGCATTAATAATAATCAATTGAAGCATGAATATATGATTCCAAAAGAAAAAAGAGATTATGATAACAATTTTAAAATTTATATAGATGATTATGATGATTATTTGCGTTATGATAAAAATTTTTTTACTGTTTCTGATAATAAGTTTGTTACGGTGTTCATTGGGGGTTGGAAAATGGGTAAGTTTTCTTTTATATTGAAAAATGATTTTAAATCTTAATACATTTGTTTTTACAATTACAAAATAAAATTTATTATTAATGCTAATTATTATTATTATTATTATTATTATTATTATTTTGTAATATAAAATATTTTAAGGAATTTTCAACTTTGTAGACGCGAAACCTCTTTTTTTAAATCTTCCATATTTTGAAATGCCGTATTCTGAAATTACAGTTAAATTCCTAGCTTTTTTAGATGGAGGCGATTTTATTATGATTACTAAAAAGCCAACATATAGGATATATATATTCACTCAGGAAAATAATGAACTTATTCATAAATCAGCGATAAAAATAGAATCATATGATGAAAACAACGAAGAAATGTTCTTATCTAATGGAAAATTGTTTATGTATGATAAAAACATAGGAAATATTACTAAATGGGATATCAAAACTTTGAGTTTTGAGGCACACTTTTTATTCGATAATAGTTTTGATGTTAAAGATATAAAATTAAGTGATAATGAGGTATTATTATTTGTATATGGGACAAAAACTGAGAAACAGTTAAAAGAAGAACCTTACCCATGTGTAAGTGTCTATTCAGCTAATAGCGGAATTAAGTTTACAACATGTACGTAGAATTTTTTTAAAAAAATATCATGATTTATTTGTAATTAATGTATTAATAATTAATTTATCGTTATTATATAAGATGAATATGAAAAAACTGATGATATTGATGCAGTTTATCTAATTGCTTCTAATATTGGAGCACGCCTTCTCATAGTTTCTCATAAACAAATTAAGGATGAAGACAAAGAAGATTACCCTTATGAATATAAAATATGTGATCCATTCACAAATACAAGATGTGTGAATTCCAAGAAACTAATCGTCGATTTTGAAGTTTCTGCAAAAGAAGTCAAAGTTTTTGAAATTAATTATATTATAAAATTTGATAAAATTGTAGGTATTAGAAAGGAAAATGAAAATGAAATACTGGAAATTAAAGAATTAATACCTGATCCTAATAATTGGATCTCCTATTTAAGAAAGGATTTAAATGATATCGACAGTATCTTTATATTATCGGATATTGAAAAAATCATAAATTTGATTAAAAATTCACCAGATGAGGCAGCTAAACTTATAGAAGAAATTGATAATAGTAAAAAAGAAGAAACATTTTCAAAATATCTTGTAACTTGGATTTTAGAATATGTTAATGATGCTGAAAAGATCATTCTTACAGCAAAATCTAACAAAGATGATGAAAAACTAGATAGTATACAGATTGTTCCAAAATTATATATTGATTTTGGTTATAAAGATTGGCGATATGTAATAGGATGTGATTGTCTTGATAATGATGATCTAGCCATGGTTACGATTATGGGTGTATTTATTTGGACAGTTAGTGCAAAAGATAAAAAAATAGAGTTGAGTCATTATTGGGATGATAATGGCTCGAGTTGGTATTGGGATAGACAAAAAGTAATTAATCTTTTTTATGGGATTGAAGATGAATCTGACGAAGAATCTGAAGATGATGATGAATCTGAAGATGATGATAAACCTGGAGGTGATGATGATGATGATGATGATGATGATAAATCTGGAGATGATGAAAGTTCTGAAAAATCGAATGTTGATGAGGAAAATTCCGATAAAAAAAATATAGAGAAAAATTCCGAAAAAGAAAATATTGTTAAGGAAAAAATTAAACAACTTGATGAATATATTAAAGAACTTGAGAAGAAAAGTTTTAAGAAACCATATTTTTTTCCACCATCAACATACTCTAGTATGATATATTATGATTCTGTTTTTTTACAAGCAGACTCTAAAAAGAAAGTTTTCTTTGATGAATTAATTGAAAAACATATTAATAATAAATTTTGTTTATTTCTTTATGGAAAAAACCTTATTAAAGTTATTATTAAAGAAGATCAAGACATGCTGTTACGAAAGTTTTGTGATGGATGTATTAATCTTATTGAAAAGAATGACGAAGTTCCAGACATGCAACTATTTAATATAATTTCTCATTCAATTGTTGAAATCTTTAAAAAGGATCCAGCATTTTTTGCAGATTTTATTATGCGAATCTCACTTTTGTGCATTCTTAATGCGAAAAGTCAATATTTTTTAGAACATCTTCATCATCATTCAAGTTATAACAATTTATCCGAATTAACATATTTGGATTTTTTAACAAATATTATTTATAACAATATCTTATATAAAAATATTATTGAAATTTTTTCTTATATAAAAAAAAAAAGCTTTTCTTTATTCAAAAAAATTATTTCTCAATTTAAATTACTTAAAGAAACGATTATTGAAAAAATTACCGGAAAAGAAATTCTTAAAAAAAAGACTTCTAAAAAAAAGATTTCTAAAAAGATAATACCGCAACAATTAACTTTAATATTTCCTTTGCCAAATTTTGTCATGTATGATAAAGATTATAATAATTGGATTGAATTATTTAAACCTAAACCTAGTTGTTTTATAGATATTGATGATTTATCTTTTTACAAAGTATGGAATGGCGAAGCACTTATTGAATTTAAATGGAATACTTTTGGCAAAAAATACTATTTAGCAATTTGGACAATATATACAATTTTTTTTAGTAGTTTTGTTATTGTGGCTACTTTATCGAAAGATATTTCTTGGCATTATCAAAAGTTGTATTTAGTTACTACTATTATTCTTGGTTTCTGGCATCTACTTTTTGAAATTCGTCATCTTATTTATTCATATAGTGATTATTTTTCAAGTATTTGGAATTATTTAGGTAAATTTTTATTAAAGATAATAATTAATACTATAATTTTAATTTTAACATTTATACTGTACTATACTAATATTTATTTTATATTTATTTTATTAATAGATCTTGGTGCTATAATATCTGCGATAGTAACTTCTATTTATTGGCTAAAAAATGGCTCTGTTTCAACTGGAGCTATTACATTTACAACTTTACTTCTTGAATTAAAATTTATTATATTCTTTCGATCTTTAAAATTTTTTGGACACTATCTTGCTATGATTATGAATACTGCTGACAAGGTGATAGCTTTTCTAATATTATTCGGACTTATTATACTTGCATTTGCACACTCATTGCATCTTTTGTTACGATATGAGTTATCCCAAGGTATTCGTTAAAATTAATTATAAGTTTGTAAATCGAATATATTATTAATAAAATTTTTATATAACTTTTTTAGATTCAGATGTAAACATGTTTTCACAATTTGGTTCCGCAATTCTTGCATCTTACTATATGATGATTACAGGTAACTTTTAAAAAATTTTGTTAGCATTTTATATATTTATATTTTTATTTAATATAATTATTTATTACTTATTTATTAGGAGATTCAACTCCTGTTTCATTATGGATTTCAAGTGAAAATATTATAATAATGCTTTTAATGATTTTGTTTTCATTTTTTACAATAATATATTTAATGAATCTATTTATTGGAATTCTCGGTAATTTACTTAGTGATAGAAATAATAATCTTGCATATTTGGATTTGAAAAGAGAGGTATGACTTTTATTATTGTTCAAAGTTAAAATACGGTATTTAAGGTTAATACATCTATATTGTTTAGATTCTTAAAGAAATCGAATTATTTTATTTATTACCTTATCAAAGAAGAAAATATAATTGGTTTCCATATACTTTGTAAGTAATTATACGTACTGTAGTACTTTTCAAATTACTGTGATATGCATCGTATGGGAATCAGAATTAAAATTATAATTAGGCTTTGTTTTTGTTTGATCTTGAGTAAATACATCTCAATAATTGACATAGTCAGCTTTAATATTTACGTCCATTTAAAAATTCTATTAGTTTATAGAATTCAAAGATGACTTGCATCAAAGATAAAACAAATTATAAAGATATTTTTATTCAAAATTTATGGACGTATATATCAGAAATCTTGTAATAATACTAAAGAATTAAGTAGCAATTTGCAAAAAATGGATTCCCATATGATGGTCATCTGATGACACAGTAAATTGAAAAGACCAGTAAGCCTAATTTATAACAAATTTAGTATCATTATCTTTTACAATCTACTAATTACAATTCACTATAAAAGCTTTTATTCAGTTTATATTAGTGAAATTCGTAAACTTATTAGTGATATCAATTCCGAAAGTTGGGATGATACAAAACCTATTGTTTCTAAAACTTTAAAGGCTATAAAAGATGAAAAACAAGAATCAGAAGTGTCAGAACATAAAATACAATCAAAAGATGAAAAACAAATCAATCAAATTGAAGATATGTTTATAGAATTAAAAGACATGTTAGCAAAAAGTACTGTTTACTACAATCCTTTATACAACGAACCCACTTTATAACAAACTTTTTATAGGATTCGGTATAAAAACACAATAAATTGCTCTATAAAAAATCTTATTATAAGAATTGCCAATTCGTTTTAAAGAGAGTTGACTGTACATATAGTAAAAACCATTTAAAATTTATTATCACAAAATTTTTTTAAAATATAAGGGCGAGAAAAATGAAAATAATTACAAATAAAGGCCCAATGTGAAAATAATTACATCAACGTTTCAACGTTGTTGACATCAACGTTTCAACGTTGTTGACATCAACGTTTCAACGTTGTTGACATCAACGTTTCAACGTTGTTGACATCAAC